CGTGGCTCGGTGGTTGCTAGCTTCTTTTTGATGAAATAATGCAACAATATGAAGGATGATTAGAAATAGCTCAAATTAGACTTCAGTCTTTGTTAGCTTTAACAAAAAGTGTTGCCTTTTGAATTTCTTATTTCAACTAACTAGTCTGATACAAGAAAAAATAATAATATCTGATGTTAGTTCAGATTTTTTTCTCTTTTCTGTACTTTGCTTGTTTGCCACTATAGACACTTTCAACTTTGGAATAAAATGGGTAGCTGATAGCTTTGGACTGTACTGCATTTGTGTCTTATGTTCTTTGCTGTAACAGCTTCATCGAAATCCGGATATCAAATCTCTTTAGTAGGGTTAAAAGTGCATTCTAAAAAGACAATGTAAATTACTAAGTAGCTTTTGTCGAAAAAATTATTATAATACTAAACTATTATAATACTAATAGCCTGTTTGGCCAACCTTATTTTGAGGAATGCTTTTCAAAAGAATACTTTTGATGAAAAACAATTTATGTTTAACTAATTAATTTGAAAAGCTCTTTTGAGCAGCAATTAGTATTTGGCCGAACTTTTAAATAGCTTCTAAGTGTATTTTTCTCAAAAGTATTTCTAGGGAGAAGCCATTTTTTTCTGCTTCTCAAAAACTGATGCTTCTGCTTCGCCAAAAAAAAATCTTCTAAAAGTTAGGCCAAACACCTCAAATTTGAAAAAAAGTACTTTTTTTAAGGAAAAAAAGGGCTTTTGGCTTTCAAGAAGTTTGGCCATACAGGCTATAAAACTAATAGGAAAGAGTTTTGAAACATGGTACTATGGGTTGGTTATGAGGATAATGGTTTCGACAAATAAGACAAAAGATACTCCAACCCCTTTTAATAGTCAAAATAGCGTGGCATAGTCACTTTTACGGGTGGCTATCGAAAAATAGTCACCGTCCGTGATGTCATTGATTTCTAGCCATTTTAACTTAAAATAGAATATAAAATGACATTATTGCCCTTGCACGCTTTAACATACTCTTTAGTAACTTTTTACTCTTTGTTTGCACAGCAGCGCGTGCGGCTTTCGTCAGAGCACTTTTTTTCGAATCCTTGATCGTTTTAGCTCTAATTTTCTTCAAAATTCTCTGGGTGAGTTTTTTTTTTACAATAATGGGTTTGATTCACGTTCTTATTGTTGTTTATGTTTAAGTTTGATTTACTGTACCGTTAGGGTTTAAATNGTTTTGTTTCAATCCAGTATAATATACGGGACATCACATGTGTGTAATCTTTTTCTCCAGTATATTATACTGGACGAGTTGAGTTTGGTCTAGCATATTTAGTTTTGTTTCAATCCAGTATAATATACAGGACATCACGTGTGTGTAATTTTTTTCTCCAGTATATTATACTGGACGTGTTGAGTTTGGTCTAGCATATAGTTGAGTTTTCTTTCAATTCAGTATAATATACAGGATATCACCTGTTTGTAATCTTTTTTTCCATTATATTATACTGGAGGAGTTGAGTTTGGTCTAGCATATAGTTGAGTTTTGTTTCAATCCAGTATAATATACGGGACATCACATGTGTGTAATCTTTTTCTCCAGTATATTATACTGGACGAGTTGAGTTTGGTCTAGCATATAGTTGAGTTTTGTTTCAATCCAGTATAATATACAGGATATCACCTGTTTGTAATCTTTTTTTCCATTATATTATACTGGAGGTGTTGAGTTTGGGATAGCATATAGTTGAGTTTTGTTTCAATCCAGTATAATATACAGGACACCACCTGTGTGTAATTTTTTTCTCCAGTATATTATACTGGACGTGTTGAGTTTGGTCTAGCATATAGTTGAGTTTTCTTTCAATTCAGTATAATATACGGGACACCACCTGTGTGTAATTTTTTTCTCCAGTATATTATACTGGACAAGTTGAGTTTGGTCTAGCATATAGTTGAGTTTTGTTTCAATCCAGTATAATATACAGGATATCACCTGTTTGTAATCTTTTTTTCCATTATATTATACTGGAGGAGTTGAGTTTGGTCTAGCATATAATTGAGTTTTAATATACAGGACATCTAGCTTTTTTCTCCAGTATATTATACTGGACAAGTTGAGTTTGGTCTAGCATATAGTTGAGTTTTGTTTCAATCCAGTATAATATACGGGACATCACATGTGTGTAATCTTTTTCTCCAGTATATTATACTGGACGAGTTGAGTTTGGTCTAGCATATAGTTGAGTTTTGTTTCAATCCAGTATAATATACAGGACATCACGTGTATGTAATCTTTTTTCCATTATATTATACTGGAGGTGTTGAGTTTGGGATAGCATATAGTTGAGTTTGGTTTCAATCCAGTATAATATACGGGACATCACATGTGTGTAATCTTTTTCTCCAGTATATTATACTGGACGAGTTGAGTTTGGTCTAGCATATAGTTGAGTTTTGTTTCAATCCAGTATAATATACAGGATATCACCTGTTTGTAATCTTTTTTTCCATTATATTATACTGGAGGAGTTGAGTTTGGGATAGCATATAGTTGAGTTGTTTCAATCCAGTATAATATACAGGACATCACCTGTGTGTAATCTTTTTTTCGATTATATTATACTGGAGGAATTGAGTTTGGGCTAGCATATAGTTGAGTTTTGTTTCAATCTAGTATAATATACAGGACATCACGTGTGTGTAATCTTTTTTTCCATTATATTATAATGGAGGTGTTGAGTTTGGGATCGCATATAGTTGAGTTTTGTTTCAATCCAGTATAATATACAGGACACCACCTGTGTGTAATTTTTTTCTCCAGTATATTATACTGGACGAGTTGAGTTTAGTCTAGCATATAGTTGAGTTTTATTTCAATCCAGTATAATATACAGGATATCACCTGTTTGTAATCTTTTTTTCCATTATATTATACTGGAGGAGTTGAGTTTGGTCTAGCATATAATTGAGTTTTAATATACAGGACATCACCTGTGTGTAATCTTTTTCTCCAGTATATTATACTGGACAAGTTGAGTTTGGTCTAGCATATAGTTGAGTTTTGTTTCAATCCAGTATAATATACGGGACATCACGTGTGTGTAATCTTTTTTTCCATTATATTATACTGGAGGAGTTGAGTTTGGTCTAGCATATAATTGAGTTTTAATATACAGGACATCACCTGTGTGTAATCTTTTTCTCCAGTATATTATACTGGAGGAGTTGAGTTTGGGATAGCATATAGTTGAGTTGTTTCAATCCAGTATAATATACAGGATATCACCTGTTTGTAATCTTTTTTTCCATTATATTATACTGGAGGAGTTGAGTTTGGTCTAGCATATAATTGAGTTTTAATATACAGGACATCACCTGTGTGTAATCTTTTTTTCCATTATATTATACTGGAGGAGTTGAGTTTGGGATAGCATATAGTTGAGTTGTTTCAATCCAGTATAATATACAGGACATCACCTGTGTGTAATCTTTTTTCGATTATATTATACTGGAGGAATTGAGTTTGGGCTAGCATATAGTTGAGTTTTGTTTCAATCCAGTATAATATACAGGGCATCACATGTGTGTAATCTTTTTTGCCATTATATTATACTGGAGGTGTTGAGTTTGGGATAGCATATAGTTGAGTTTTATTTCAATCCAGTATAATATACAGGACACCACCTGTGTGTAATTTTTTTCTCCATTATATTATACTGGAGGTGTTGAGTTTGGGATAGCATATAGTTGAGTTTTGTTTCAATCCAGTATAATATACAGGACACCATCTGTGTGTAATATTTTTCTCCAGTATATTATACTGGACGAGTTCTGTTTAGGATAGAATATTATAGGGGGAAATCTATCATATGAATGTTTGGCTTCCAGTATGTTATACTGAATGAATATTATAATATAGACAAGTATTTTTTAAGTCCAGTATATTTTACAGGGTTTCTCCTGTGTGTAAGGTTTTTTCTCCAGTATATTATACCGCATGATTATTATGCTGTTTTTCGATTTTCATATCTTGTATTTTATTCTGATCCAGTATATTATGCTGGAAGACTGCAATCTATAGACTGTTCCTCTGTTCATTTTAATGAATAAGTTATTTTGATAATTTATTTCTCATATATATACTGGGATTCTGATTGTGTTTATTATCTGATTTGTAATATGTTTTTTTTGATGATTTTATAGAAATGGAATCATCAAGTTATATATTGAAGGTACGTATTTCTAAAATGTTGAAGTTTTTATCTTAAAATTACATGAAACGTTGCTTATCTGTGTTATATTTTGATTTTAGGAGGGAGATCGATTTTATGATCTTAAGAAGTGGTTTGCTACTGATTGTTATTGGAATGGCGATCGAAAATTTAAGAAAATAATTTCAGAGTTTTTGTGTAGAACTCAAATGGAACAGTTAAAGAATGGTGTGTTTGGGAAATTTTTAGAGTTGGATGACGTGGGTCACTCTGGGAAGTTGACTCATTGTTTGTTGCTTTCTCAAGTTTTTTACAAGGATAAAAGCAAAATGGTTTTTAGAGTTTTTGATAACGACGTAGCTTTTACAGAAGATGATTTCCATTCTATAACCGGATTGAAGATTGAGGCATCTGATTATAGTTTTGTTGATGATAGAGATAACCGTTTGAAGAAACGGTATTTCTCTGATGTGCCAAAAGGTTTGAAGGTAGAACATTTGTATAAATTTATCACAAAGCGTTCTCGACTCCGTGATGGTGCAGCAGATGATACATGTGATGATGTCGAGGTCTGTGATGAAGATGCTGTAAAGCTTGCTGAGATATACATATTAGAAACTGTTCTTTTGGGTAAAGACATTAAAAGAAATATAAGTGAACGTAATATGAAAATCATAGACGATCCAGAACTTTGTTCTTCTTTTCCATGGGGGAGTTACTGCTTTCAAGAACTTATTAACAATTTGTCTCATCTTCTGAAAACAGAATCTGTGAAAGACAAACCTATTGGTAGGATCGCATCTTATAC